CCCCGCCCCCCGCAGGGTTTCGCTGGGCGCGGGAGCCTTGGGCTGGGCTTGGCGGGATTTTCAGGATTTTTTTTTTCCTCCCATAAACCCCTGTCGTGAGTGGTGGGGGCAGAGGTGGGATTCAAGGTGGATTCAACCCCAAGCCAGCCCAAGGAATGGGGGTTGGGGGACTTTTGGGGGTTGTTGTGTTCCTTGGGGGTTCCTGTCCTTTTTTTGGGGGTCCCCGGGGTCCCCTTTTCCCTGTCTCCAGGGTGTCTGGTCTCTTTTTGGGGGTCCCTGTGTCCCCAAGGGTCCCCTAATCCCTGTCTCCAGGGTGTCTTGTCCCTTCTCAGGGTTCCCTGGGGACCCCTGTCCCCCTTTGGGGCTCCCCAGTGTCCCCAAGGGTCCCTCCCTCCCTTTCTCCTGGGTGTCCTCTTCCTTGGGGGTCCCAGTCCCCTTTCAGGGCTCCCCAGTGTCCCCAAGGGTCCCTTCTTCTCCTTCCCATGGGTGTTGTGCTCCTCCTTGGGGGTCCCTGTCCCCTTTTGGGGCTCCCCATTGTCCCCAGGGGTCCCCTATTCCCTTTCCCATGGGTGTCTTGTTCCTTCTTGAGGGTCCCTGTCCCCCTTTGGGGCTCCTCAGTGTCCCCAAGGGTTCCTCCCTACTTTTCTCCTGGGTGTCGTGTCCCCTTTCAGGGCTCCCCAGTGTCCCTGTGTGTGTCCCCCAGTGTCCCCAAGGGTCCCCTGTTCCCTCTCTCCTGGGTGTCGTGTCCCTTCTCAGGGGTCCCTGTCCCCTTTCAGGGCTCCCCAGTGTCCCCAAGGGTCCCTTTTCCCTCTCCTGGGTGTCACATCTACAAGGCGGGTGGCTCCATCCCAACGCGCTCCTCGTGCTCATCCGGGAATTGAGGGATTGACGCCATCTCCGTGCCTCTTCCCACAAACGACCCAAGCTCCTGCGCAGCTGCTGGGCTAAAACCCGGAGCTTTCTTGCGCGCGTTTTGATCGGACGCAGTGGCCAAACTCCTCATCCGACAGCAGAAAGGGGCGGGAAGCCGAGGCGTCCCCCTCCGCAGGATAACCACCGCGTTTTGTTCTCTCTTTCTGCTCCTCAGGCCGGGAGGGGAGGACGTCGTGGGCGCCATGGCTTTCCTCCTCAAGCCGCACCCGCGGGAGCTCGCCCTGGACTACCACACGGCGAAGCAGTTTGAAGGTAACTAAAGGCAGCGGTGGAGGAGCAAAATACCCAATTCCTGGCGTTTTTCAGGCTGCATGGAGCCAGGAGGAACCTCCAGCTCCTCCCATCTCCCCCCTCCTCCATCTCCACCCTCCATCTCTTGCCTCTCCCACCTCCAACCCCATCGCTCCTCTCCCATTCTCCTTGAAAAGT